GAAAGTCATCAGCTCCCACTGGCAATGGGAGACTTGGCAGCCCTGTGTCTATATCCTGCTGCTGGAGAGCACCTGGTACCTGGCTGGGTAAAAAGTAACAATCCCAAGCGCAACCACCCCAAATGCTCGCTGTGGTTCTGCAAGGAAAAAATTGCAGAACGGGCTGACTCTAAGTACAGAGATATTTAAGGCAATAAGCCACAGTTATAAGATCCTAGAGGAAAACCTTAAAGCAGCTACACACAAAGGCTTTTAAATTTAAATCGGGAGTACTTGTTCTCCTTATGCGAGTGCTGCTGATACCCTGCAAGCAACGGCAGCAGTGCAGTAACACTCAGCAAAGAATGATGTGGGGCAACCAAAAGCAGTTTCAGTGCAGTGCCAAAACCCAGCTCTGGTAGCAGAACTCTGTATTTTGTTCTCCTCATTCAATAGTTATTGGTACTTTAAATTTCTCTTGAGACAAAGAAATCTTTTTCTGCCAGATAGTTGAATAAGCCAGATAAAAATAGGAGAGAAACTTTGTTTGGAGCAATGTGCAAATCCACAGACACTACAGGAATCATTTGGAGTATATTTCATTTTATCTAGGTGTGGTGGGAAGGGTACAGTGAACTGCTAAGCATAGATTCCCTTTTGTCTTGCATAGATAAATAGTTCTGCATTGAGAAAAGGGCTGAGTTTATAATGTTTAATACTGGAGCTTTCTAGGTACTAGCTACTCACATTTCCTATGTGTAGCAAGGTAAAACTGCTCTGCTTCTATTAAACACTGTGACTTGTGAGTACGAGGATTAGTGCTGTTAGGTAGTACACACTATTTCCTCAATCCTAAACTAGCTTGGAGTAACTAACAATCAGAATGGGCACAAAGAATCTTTTTGCTTGGGCTTGGTTAGATACGTTCCTCTGCTGAAGCCGCAGCAAACTTCCTGCAGGGATACAAGCTGGTAGAAATGCCAAGTTTTTCCTCTGGAAAAAAAGAATTCTTCAGACCCCTGCATTGTCAGCCAGCATCCCCTGCATCCAGGAAGGATTTTAACCAGCTTTCCTCACACTGGCATGCTTTGTAATAACCGAGTTTGCTCTTGCTCTTGCATAGTGGCAGTGCACATTTTATTGAATTTTGGGCTTTTTGAGAAGCCATTCTGTTATTTTATTGCATTCTTCATGTACCACTGTACATGAGAATTGAAGAACCAGGAAACACCCTGCAACATCTGCACAGCAACTTTTCAGCAGAGATGTGCCACAGGAGAGGGGCTGCTGAGCTTCCAGTCGGCGTCTTTGTGTGGAGAGGATTATTTGGGGCCACTAATGGATTTTCTGCAATGGAAGGAGGCAGGGGAGGTGCATTTGCTAACAGCCCCCTGACAAGAGCTCAAGTTGTTCACCAGCACTAATCTTGTGAAGATGCAGTTCATCGGGGGTGTGGAGAAGGGGGCATCTGCTCAGGCTGCAAAACTGAAATGCTGTGGGAGGTTTGAGTGGCAGCCTCACCCACCTGGGAAGAGGGTGCACGGGCACCTTCACAGCTAATTTTAGACTGAGGTCAGCCGTTTGCCTTCCTTAAACGTGGGATGCAGCAAATCTGCACCATACACATTGCTGCTTAAATGTCCTCCTCTTTACCTACAGAGGGGTGCTCTGAGGGAAGGCAGAGACAGAGGAAACAGGGTTTGGTACCCAGATGCCTAGCCTAGGGCAGCTGTTTTTTGTTGTTGTTGTTGTTGTTTTTGTTTTGTTTTGTTTTTCGTTTTTAGATTGCAGAGACTATGGTGCAAAAACTCAAGGCCCTAAATGCTCAGCTGTTCACCCTCCCCATGCCCCACAGCGCTCCCTGCAGAAGGGCTGTGCCCCTGAGGTTGGAATGCGGTAGCTGTCCTGCGGCAAGCCGCTGCCTTGCCCTCTGCCCATACTTGTGTCAGCCTCGTGGGCCCCTGCACTGTGCTGGCAGACAGGGGACTGCAGGTGCAGAAGGTCGAGCTGCCATATACTGGTTATTCCTGATTTGTTTGATTGCTTCTTGTGAGGTCAAATGTATACCTATTACTTGAGAGGGGTTGTAAAAACTCTTGCTTTGCTACCCAAGCTGGAGGCTTAGTGCTACACGGCTGGTGCACTTAAAAACTTCAGAACTGTTATTCTATTTGTTTTTTACAAAACAATTCAGTTGTTTTTAGAACTCGCTGACATGTGGAATGCATACATTCCTGCAGTGACTCTGCAGGAATAAATATAAGCAAGACAAACTGTATAGCTCTGTTAGAAAAATCCCTATAGCGCTTAGCATATGATCCTTAATGTGCTTTGGTCAATATCTTTCTCTGTATCAATGGAAGCTCATTAAAAGAAGATATTGCAGACTAACTGAGCCATTTTGTATTAGTTCTTGCCAAAGCTTGACATTTTTAATATATTAATAATATGTCTGTAATGTAATGGAAAACTATTAATCAGAACTGGTTATATGCCAGAATTTTAAGCTATAATTGGCTGCTTCTTGTCAGGGAGGTCTGTTGTACAGTTCTACATCTGCCTAATATTCAGATGTCTTGCACTCCTCTGCACTTTTTTCTTGTCAGTGCACTAAATTCGATCGATGTTATAGTCTATAATTCTGTGTAACGACCATCATTATGACTCTGGCTTACTTTAATGAGAATTCGTTATATGGGAAGTATTTTAGAACAGCATGTTAAGGTAGCGGCTTGCTTCCCATTATTTCAGTCCTACCCAGTCCTCTTTATTTGTAAATCTGCATCTCAGCAGTTATAAAAGGTTATTGGTAACTGAAGGGCAAGCAAGGAAAATATTAAAGAAAACAAATGTATTTTTTCTTAATATACAAGCTTGTAGACTAAAGATAATTAAATCTTGTAATTTCTTGTTTCTACACAGAAACATGATATTCACCAACCGTTCATTCCAGCTATGATCAAGTCTTCTCCAATACAGAGTGTGATTTGATTTGTCAAAATAAAACTGAAATTACTTGTTGGTTTTGAGTTAGGTCAAGGGACTCTCTCTCTTTGCTCTGCTTTTTTTTTTTTTTCTTTTTTTTTCTTTTTTTTTCTTTTTTTTTTCTTTTTTTCCTTTTTTTTTTTTTTTTCCAGCAGAGCAGTTGTTTCATTTCTGTATAATGACTCTGCTAACCTATGGGACTTTTTAGTGTTTTTTTCCCCTAGTAAGTAAGCTAAAAAAGTAAGCTAGAAAGGACTAGAGAGAAAGAATACGAAGTTCTCTTGGATGTCTTTAAAAGAACATGGGGAACATTCTTTGAATTAGTGAAATCCAAGATGATAAATAAATATTGCCACTGGAGAGAACAAACAAACAAAAAGCAACATAAGGTTGCTATTAAAGCTATGGTACTACACCATGTGACTTTTAAAAAGGTCTAATTTTAATTTAGTCTTTGATATTTCTTCTTCTGTATCAAAATCAGATTTGAGGCTTAAATATACTTGATCTAGTTGAGAATTGCCATGGCATGAAATTTCAGATATTCTCTAAATATTCTGATAAAATACATCAGTCGTATAGTAACATTTGATAAGACGAATATAATGGAAAATTGCATTTACGTCCATACGGCAATTATTGTAAATTACTTTGCTATGGAAACACAATTCAACCATCTGTTGGCATTTCATGCTGTCTGTGGTTTAGTTCAGTTTAAGATGAAGCATTATTTAAATATAGGGAGGCCATTTGTGAATAGCTTTGAAGATAACTGATAACTTCTGAAAATGTGTATTACCAAAACAACACACTCAAGAGCTCACCAAGTCACAGGCCACTTTATGTGGCTTTTGGGTAAATGAAGGTTCACGATGCAGAGCATAATCTAAACTTTGGAATAAGCAAAGTGGGCAACAGAATATGACGACTTATGGTTCTTGATGTCTGTGTGAAGGTTTTGCTTAGATTTTATCATCCAGACAAAAAGGTTGCAGAAGTGCTGTAGTGACTGTCTAAAATCCTCCTCTTGCAGTGTCTGCTGCTTCTGCCACTGAAGCCAGCTCTTGAGCTTCCTGTCCTTGGCACAGGTTGGCAGCAGGCACAGGCTGAAAGAGATGAGTTGGAGTTTGCAGTCTGGTTTTTACCTGTCCATGTTTAGAGAACTTAATCCATCTTTGCAGTTTCCCCTACACATTGTTTGTATTTTTTATCAAATACAAATGTTAAGTTATTGTAATAACACCCTAGGTTTTTCTGTGTTTAATAATAAGACTGAAGTGAAATAAACAGGGGGAATTTCCAGTTGTTCTATGAAGAGGAGGAAAGGGATGTAGCTGCTGTGAAATAAACATATTTGCCATGAAATAACATTGAGTACCCCCCCAAAGCTAGGAAAATACAACATCCATACTGGAAGGGGAAAGCATACTTATAGTAAATGACAACCTATTATCCCTATCAGGAATTTATCAGCATGATCAGCAAAATGCTGTTAAAGAAAAGAAAAAAGAAAGAGTAAAACTCTAACAGTACCGAAGAGAAATTTCAAGGAAATGGAAGCGTGCTTCCAGTATCTTTGTTACTCTTCCAAAAAAGAATGTAAGAAATGTGCGAGACTTTTGGAGCTCACTGAGGTCCTTTTGCCAAAAGACTATTGGCACCTGGTTGCCCTGATACTCATCTCTTTAATAAGAGAGCCTTCCTGTTATTCTGCCACAGCGTTTGGTTCCCTTCTCCCCTACCTGCCTGGTTAGAAAACACAAGCAATGTTTAAGTTCTGCAGTTTGCTCTATGGCAATGCTAGGGTGAAGATACAGATTTGGAAGCAGAAACACGTAGTTCACCTGCAACATTATAAATCTGTCTTTCTCAGAGCAGAGTTCAATCCTTCATGTCAAAAATACTTTTCACTTTGAATGATTTTGGTAGTTTGTCCGTTGTAACACAGCACCCACAGTAAAGGTTATCCATATTATACCAATTTGCTTTATACTGCATCAAAACCTTCAAAATGTCAACATATAATATGTTTTGTAACTCATTGATTCTTGGACAATAACTCTAACTCTTATTGTTTCTAAAAGGGTGCTGGTGACAGAAGAAAAGAATGATTGACGGGAAACAGACACCAGCCTGTAGACTCTCACCCCTTTGCTTCAGATACCGATTTATCAGTGCATCTGGGCATCCCCTGTGAGCCGTGAACACAGAGGATCACTCAGGGTTATCGACAGTGTAGCTGAAGACCCACAACTTCACAAATTATTATCTACTGTTGGACATCTTCTACAAGAAGCCCTGACAAATAAGTTATAAGACAAAGGACACGCTCTACATCGCTGTGAAAGGCCGTCACTGGGGTCTGTGTGGCTTCTACCAAAGTCTTCAACTTAGTAAAGCAAACGTTGTATCCTAATGCCTCACGTTTGAGTTGGAACCTATTTTATAAAATATCTACATGCATATGTACATATATCTATAATCTATAGACTGAACGTATGTCAGTACTGAGCGTCTTTACGAAGGTGACCTAAAAGGATTTAGAAATGTATTTGTCAAGATTTCTGTCACTTCACGCCCTCTGGGTCACCGTATCTTCTGTGATGCAGCATTATCCTTCCGTGTGGGGACATTATGATGTGTGTAAGACCCAAATTTACACAGAAGAAGGAAAAGTATGGGATTACATGGCCTGCCAGCCAGAAGCCAGAGACATGATCAAATATGTAAGAGTGACTCTGGATCCCCCAGATATAACGTGTGGAGATCCTCCTGAGACTTTCTGTGCAATGGTAAGGCAAGCTTTTCATTTTCATGACAAGCAGACACGTATTTGTGCTAGATGGCTGCCAAATTGAAGTCCTATAGTACACATATAAGTATCAAGGAAAATATGCTTTGTGTTCTGAATGTGCTGGTAAACAAAATGCCCAGCAGTACATTGAGCTGGACAATGGAATATTCTGCCTATTGGGACCTAGCCTAACTTGACTTTTTCTGAATTTGGTGTCTCTTTAGGTCAACTTTTAATGAGTTAAAAGACAGCAGTGTAGAACTTCTAGTGTGTTAACCCCTAACCAGGCACAGTTACCTGGATCATGAAAGACTTACGTGAATTAATTGATTCTAATACGATCACCTGAAAGCATCATGGTGCTGTATAATTCAACATAATTTCCAAAGACAATACGCTTATTCAAATAAGTGATAAATAATCATACAAGTATCAGAAACATATATGTATATAATATATATATACACACACACACACAGACACTTATATGTATTAATAAAGCACTGGAAATTTACAGTACATTACCTAGATAATTTAGATTTGAAAAAATGATGAGTTCTGGTAGGTGAGCTTATCATAGCTGGGAATAGTCTACAAGCCATTTGTTTGCCTGCGTACAAATCATCATTGCTGTGTGACAGAATCCCCACAGGAAGGAAATTTGCTTTTAAACGCCTTATGGTATCATTTGCAACCACTACTGTTCTGTAAGGAGTTCAGGTCCAACCACACATACATTTAGGGCATTATGTGCGTGCATACAGCTGCTTCCCACGTACGTTATGGTAATAGCCACGTGATAAATTGCAGAGCTACGTGAATAAATTACATTCACTGTGAACCTTTGACTGCACCATTTGCTCTCTGCCTGCTAGTCCATCTCTGCCGACACAGCTTTGACACTCTAAACCTCCAAGTAACTTCTAGCAACCATTGTTTAAGAACAAGTAAATGCAGTGTACCCTGTACAGTATGTTTGTGTGGGTTTTTGTTTATTTTGTTGTTGTTGTTGTTCAAGCTGTGACGTGTATTTTCTCCCTGAAAAATGGAAATGATGGAATTGAGTCCTCAGTCAGTGACATTTAGTAACTCTAGTATGTAGTTAATAAGAAAACTTGTTTTTCTGAGGCAGTCCACTGCACACTTCATCCTTTTAGTATAGATAAACACTGCAGCAGTTCCCATACTAAGTGATTATTTTAGATTTCTGAATGCTTTGGCTATCACTTGTCTCTTTAGTTGGAACAAAGATGATTAAAGATACTAAAACAATATTTTGATGAAGTATTAAAGATAGTGCCAGAACTCCCCATGTAAACATCGGACCTAGGAAGCCCTTTGCTGCAAAAATGGGATAAAGGTTTGTTTGGGAATCACCTAAGATGACAGATGGAACACCATTGTTTTGTAAGTGCTTAAGATGCAGAAAGCTGACAGAATCCTAACAAAGGGAATAGAAAAAAGAGGAAGAACTGGAATGGGGAAGGGGGTTGGGGAAGGAAGAGAGAGAGTGCGCAATGAAACAAGGTATTTAGTTATGTGAGTTAAGAAGGACTGACTGCTACAGTAAATGGTTATATGTGCTTTGAGTATGGATGTGTTCTGAACTCTGCATGCACGTATGCATGGGTAATGGCCTGACTTACTTGAAACATTATGAAAATGACAGAAATAGTTGATGTTCTTGAGGTATTATCCAGCATCAAAGCACTCCCTTCCCTAAAAAAATGCTTCATGTCCATCTGTACTGTGTCTATTTATACATCGTTCAAAACAAGGTTTTACATATTTGTAGGGTTGAGCCTTGGCATTTCCTAATGAGCAGATCTTTTATTTTTGTGTTCATTTTTATTTTTAGGAAATGAGTTAAGAAAATAGCACTGTCATACTATGAGGAGGTGGGCACTGGAAAAAGTGTGCATTTCTGTTAGGCACGGTGCTCTTATACTTAAAGCAAATCCTGAATTTGAAATGGCAGAGATTTAAACGTTTCTTTCCAGCATAGCAAAATGCTGAACAAACTTATAAAAATGTATGGTTTTATTGCTGTGAATATTGGATATTAGCGTACTAAACCTGTGTAGCTGTTTTTTGTTATTCAAATCAGGCTAACGCTCAACTGCCTTCCCTTTATTCCTTGGAGATAAGTGTCCTTTCAGACATTCTCAAAACAGCAATGATACCAAAAAGCCGAGCCTACTTTCTGCGGGAGCAGAAAGAAGTTGAATCAATCTTCTGTTTTATTGCCGTATCCATTCTCCATTCAGCCTAAATTTTCTGTTCACCACAAATTATAGGACTATATAGTGACTAAGGAACTATCTGTTGAGTCCATGTCAATTATGGCATGGCACAGATGAGATCACTAAACAACAACCAGACTGAGGGATCTCATCTAACTCCTTTTGAAAGATCACAATAACATCAAAGCAAGTGGGTGAGAGTGTCATGGTGAGAGTCTGCAACAGTGTACAACCTAATCATACACTGCAATGCATGCAACCATGTAACAAAGAAGTATTTTTGTCTCCACAACCAAAGGGGACACAGAGGTATGAGCTCTGGATTCCAGCCAGGATCTAAGTATCAGGAAAGCTTGTTCAAGGTCAGAGTGGGTTGTACTGGAATGGGTTGCTCCAGCAGAGCCCACCATCTCTGGTAGGGGCCTGGCAGCAAATCTTTAAGGACACGTTTTTTAGAAGGCAGCCAGAGGGGCTAAGGCATCAAACATAGAAAACAGGATGGGTACTTAATAGTAAAATTAGCCTCATACATATTTCTGCATATTCCCCACGCAATTAAGTGATCTTATGAGTGCATTATGTTTGGATTTTTTTTCATTCAGTGCTTAGCTGATAGACCAAATAACAAGTTTTGGCACATACAGATTTGTTACAAAATGCAAACACACTCGTCTAGTTGGTAGCTAACACCAGCATGCGGCCACTCATTGTGCTTAAGTACCTTTGAGCCATCCCTCCAGGACAGCCATCTGTAGGTATTGTAGGGAGCAGGCAGCAGGAAAACTATCCCACAATTGCTCTTATGCAATCTGTTCTGAGAATAACATTATAGTTTCTGGTGACATTCAGTATTGACAACTCATGAGATTATTCTGAAACCTCAAACCCCTGGAGCCCTATGATTATGAGAGATTCTCTGCTTTCATTTAAAATACCGTCTTTATTGTTCATAGTCCTTCTGGCGGCAAAGAGAAGTTTGAAAATGAAACTGAGAAGCTCAAAAAGCAAAACAGCCCACAAAATTATTCGTTGTTTAAAATTTCATCATTCTTAAAGTCAGACGGGATTTTTAGGGCTTGGGAAAGGATTTTGCTTGAGAAGAGTGGCATGAAAAAAATTATGAAGAAATAAATGGCTTAGAGCAGTTAGCACTTGCCATTTCTGGCTCAAAGTTGTGTCTGTAAGGAGGAGGTGACAACATCCTTCCCCGAGGGGTAATACTCCTTCCCTGCAGAAAGGGCTGACTGGTAACTTCTGTCCACCCTGTACATTTTAAAGCAATCTCTAGCGTCCTGAGAGTGAGGCATGTATGGTGGCAGATGACACGTTTGCTTTCAGTGGCATTTCTGCAAGGATACTTGACTGTCCTTTGTCAGCCACAGTGCTGGATGATCATTGCATCTGAGATAGTGTGGCCATTGTTTCTATAATTCATGAATTTTGAGCATTTGGCATCAGTAACAGTGTGTCTGGCACAGTACAGTGAGATTTAGTTGGCTTGGGAGAAAAGAGAGAGAAGAGGAAGAGAGAAGAGAAAGGAATGACTTCCTGTTTTCAAAATTCACTTTGCAAAGCAAAATTTTAAGTACCTGAAAGTGCTAGTCCTCATGGCACTGCAGCATTTCAGTTTACAAAATGTACCTGCTTTGAATTGCCAGGAATAAATAACAGTGGCGAAATCCTTTAGCTCCTTAATTGTACACACTTGTTAAAATTTCACAAAATTCAGTACACTTACAAAAAGAAGCAAATGTTATCTTTTCCATGACCGTAACAATCTTTTGTCCTACAAAAATACTGTATAGGTTGCATCTGAATTCTTTCTTTTTAAAAAATTCATCAGCTCTAGCCCAGTGTGGCTGCCAGGAGCCACCTAGAGTGAAGAGCATGATCAGGAGCAGGAGTCAGAGCCCCAAACCGAGCATCCTTTTCCACAGAAAGCTCCCACATTCCTGCTGCATGCTTTGCATGGCATTTGCAGGTGCTTAGACCCCAGGGTCAGTAGGCACAGCAGGAGCTGTAGCGCGGCTCTGGGAGCTCAGCAGCTGCCTGCTGTCTCCTGAAGGGGCTATCTTCCTTTGCTAAAATCTAACTTTTGTCACCGACTTTGCATTCTATTTGCCAGTCTTAGTCATGTAAATTCTTTACAAACCTAACCAGGAGACTCCTAGTGGCTATAGCTGTAATTTACAAACTGGAGGTGGATCTTTTTTATGAACCGTCATTTACAGCTGAAATGGCAACACAGGAATACACTTTTCTGCTTATGTTTAGATCATAACTAGCTATCATAACACAATCCAACATCCCAACAGTTCAAAAAATGATGAAATTATCTGCAATTATCTATTGCCTGCAGCCAGCTTTCTGCATAGGTTAAACAAGCTTGAAAAGAAGCCTACAGACAGAAGTCATGTGCGTTTGTACAGTTTAAAGAGCAGAAATGCTGATGATAGTAGAAATTTGAGCCCTTGAGTGCTACTCTGTATTTCACAGCCAATCAAAACTAAATTAAGAAACAAAGATTATTAAAAGTCTCCTGTACATATAATTCTGGCATGATATTATGAGCTGGACTTTACATTTTTCCCTCTGAGACTTTCAACATCATTAATATAGCATTTCTTTAATTACAAGTAGGCTCATATTCCTTGAAAAAGGGAAAATACTCTTGAATAGTTAATGATACCATTATTATATTTACTGAAATAATTAAATGAACAGATACTCTTTTGAGCAACATATATATCAAAAT